GATTGGATGCGTTCTCCAAACACAACTGACAAGTTTTGGTGATTTTGTCGATATCACTGTCTATTCCTGGCCACCACACAAACGACCTAGCCATAGCTTTCATCCTTACAATGCCCATGTGTGTTACATGGAGCTCACTCAACACCATAGATCTTAATACAATTGGCACAACAACTCGCATTCCTAACATCAAACAATCATCTTCTACGTACAATTCATTCTGTCGTCTCTTAAAAATCTCGAATTCAGACTTAATCTCCTTGGGCCAACCATCTCTAACATACTTAATAACTTTCGATAATGTTTCATCTCTTTTTGTCTCAGTTCTGATCAATTCAATATCTAGTGTTAGTACCTCAGATTCAATAAAATTCAAATATGAAAAATCCTGATTCCTATCAGCTTCCTCCACCATTGGCTTTGGAGCACGTGACAAACAATCAGCGCTTACGTTATCAGTACCTTTAATATGCTCTAGAATGAAATCGTAAGATGCTAAAAATACTGCCCATCGTTGGACTCTGCCTGCTACCATGTTTGGTAGACTCCTATTTGGGTCAAAAATAAATTTGAGAGGCTTGTGATCCGTTTCTAACAAAAATTTCCTCCCCCACACATACTGGTGAAAACTTTTTACCCCAAAAACCAGTGCCAAGGCCTCTCTGTCCAATTGTGCATAATTTCTTTCAGCTACTGTTAATGACCTTGAATTGGAAGCTACTGGTCTGACAATATTATTTGGTAGTATGTGCGAAAGTACTGCTCCAACCCCTACTGGCGAAGCATCACATGTAATTTTGAGAGGTAACTTGGGATCATAGTGCATCAAAACCTCTGGAGATAGTAATTTTTCCTTAATCAAATCAAAAGCTACTTGACACTCTTCTGTCCAATTCCATCTTATCTCTTTTCTCAATAACTTGTACAATGGTGCTACTACTTGGGCATAATTATTAACAAATTTTGAATAATAATTCGTCATGCCAAGAAATCGTTTTAATTCAGTGGTATTCAGGGGTGTTTTAATGGCATTAATTGCCTCTACTTTGTCTTTGCAAACATGGATTCCATTCTTATCAATCTGAAATCCCAGGAATTTTATTTCTTCCTTAAAAAATTCACATTTTTCTAGTCTTGCTGTCATTCCAGCGTCTCTTAATTTCTATCTCAATTTTCTCTACCATTGCATAAGGTACGACTCGTGGTCGAATAAAAATTGGCTTAGCATCCCCTTTGAGTTCTAATCTGAATTTACCATGTTTGTAAAGCCCCAGCTTGTCAGTCAATACAGAAGAATACTTTTCTTTTAATTCTGTAACAGTCAAACTTACTTCATTAATAACATTATTAATCTCGACATTTCCTGCTGACTTTACTGACAAAATATCAAGTCTTCTGATCCATTCTCGACCCACAATTGGTTTACTACTACCTGGCATGACAAATAATTCTAAATTTAATAATTTCTCCTTATAAGAAACATCAACATTCAACATTCCTCGTGGAATCATTGGAGTACCAGCGTATGATCGAAATTTCCTATTTGTTTCACTCAATTGTAAATACGAGAATGTCTCATTGTCCTTGAACTTCTCTGAAATGGCAGATACCGGTGAACCTGTGTCAAGTTCGAACGTAACTTGTTTACCTTCGACCAACAAATCAATTTTAATTGGGCTTGTGTAAAAAATTTTTCTCTCATTCGCATTCAGTTCATCCCTCTCATCAATCGTATAAAAATTATTGAATTGCTCATCTAGCTCCACAATCTCATCAACATAATTCTGGTTTACATGTTTCTCTTTTCCTTTAACATTTTCAAATCTGATATTGCTAGACCTCTTATGCCTAAAATCACTGTTTCTTGTCACTTTGATAGTCTTTCTTATTGTTGTCATTATTGTCTCTATTCTTATCATTAAATCGACAGATTGAGGCTAAATGCCCAACTCTTTTACAACAATTACAGGCATAATTTTTGAATTTGCACTGAAAACGACTGTGACCCATCCGTCCACAACATGAACACGGCTTCTTTTCCTCTTGATTTCTCTTCCCATAATGTTTTTGACTTTTAACGAAATTCACTGATTCACTTTGTTTTGGAGTGTCCATTTCTCCAGTGTCCTTGGCTGCTGCCTCATCACTTAAAGCAATTTCTACTGCGCGCTCATACGTCAAATTTTTCTCACACAACAATTTCTGTTTTGTCACTTGTCATTTCTGTTTTGTTTTTTAGTCCGCACACGAACCGATCACTAATTAAATCATCTAATGCACTACCAAATTCACAATGTGTTGACAATTTTTTAAGTTCCGCTAGGTAATCTCTGACTGTCCCTCTGTTCACAATTATTGAACTTAAAACGTTGAGTTATTACACTCGGCTTAGGCTTCAGATGGTTATTCATTAATTCCATTAATTCTTCTAATGACTTTTCTTTTGGAATTACTGGAGCACATAAATTGGAGAGTAAAGCATAACCCTCAGCTCCCAAAACGCTTAAGAATAATTCCTTGTGTTTATTACTTGCCACTGAATTTGTTGCAGTATAGTGTTCCAGTCTCTGTAACCACTGCGACCAGTCAGTTTTGCGATCGTATGGTTCGATCGTTCCCAACGCTGTTACCATCTGCTTACTTCCAATAATCGTTACATGTTCCTGGAGTCTTCTAACTTCGGTGGAGTGCTGCTGTACCAGGGCTTCCAGCTCCATGATATGATCGTCTTTGCTCATGATTTCGGTTCGGGCAGTTTCTCTACATTTGTGTAGCTCGGCCTGTAGCCTCGCTATTTCCTGTTGGAGCGCGTCAGCCATTTTTCGGTTACCTTTCTAACCCAGTCATGCACACTTTATACTTTTACTCATTGCTCTCACAATTCTTTTCAAATTACAAAACTTTTATCCTCGTCGCCACTTGTAATGTTTGTAGATGAGGTAGCAGGTATATTCATTAATAACTAGTTTATACTCCTTTGGATGATCATCGATTATATTTTATCTAACTTGAAAACACATGTTTACACTTATAAGTACCAAGAGGGAGAGAGAGTAAATCTGAATATGGAGTCATTAAAATAACATTCGATACGCTAGGTGTCTCTAGCGTACACCACAAAAAGTATTATCTGGCGAATGTGACTTTTATAATCACATAAAAGTGTAACACAATATTTTATACCACGAGATCGGAGGTGCGCTCCGCACGCCTATTACTATAATTGATTTTATGTGATTTATCTCGTTATTATTGTAAGTTGATTTGAATCCATATATTACTTCACGTATACAAATTTCTATAGTATTACTAAGGGGTCCATGTCTAAAAAACTCCCGTCAAAAAAACCCCGTCAAATAAACTCCGACAGAAATACCCGGCGTCTAAAAACCCCGCGAAGAAAAAACTTCTCCAATAAAAACACACTAATTATATTTCAATGCAATTTGTAGTTGCAAGTATTCATAACAGATGGACAAAGATAAAGATACACATTGACAAGAAATTTTCACATCAAATACAACAAATCAATGACCCACAGATTATACCGTAAATACAGAATTGGAAACGAATCGATAAAAATGAGGATACAAATTGACAGAACATCAATCATAAATAGCATGAATCAACAGCCCAAACATCGTAAATACATTACAGTATGATATTTAAAGCGATCCCCTTCAAATATTTCAGGAGAGAGCGAAACAAACAAAACAATCGAATTACAAACGGGTGCTGTGAACAAAGTTTTTCGAACGTAATTTTTTTAATGAGATTTTTTAAACGTAAGTTCACTTGTACAAAATTCATATGACCGGAATTGAATTTTTCCGGGGTTGATTTGACCGGGTTTTTTCAATGGGATTTTTTTGACGGGGTTTTTTAGGCATGCTTCCTTACTAAGAAGAAATTTGTGGGAAATGATGAAAACTACTTTTGAAAATCCATTAATTTTTTTGTTATTAAAAAAGGATGGAAATTTCCATCGAAAATCAATCCGGGATAAGTCGAAATCCATGAAAACTTCAATTTAGGATCAACACATGTTCTGTTTGGTAATGCTGGTAGTATCGAAGATCAGAAAATAATTCAATGTTAATTTATACGGTCCCCGAGTGGAAATTGCTGAAGCACGATCAGATCTTGATCCGGTTTTTGTAAGGTTCGACGGATCCGGTGATTCCTGATGAGAACCTGACCAAATTTTGATCCAGTAGATCGGATCCGAAAAACTGCAGGATGATTCAGATCAAGTTCTGATCAGGTAGAGACGATCTCACCCTGAGGTCGACTGCCTGACCGCAATTTGATCAAATTCCGATTTGATGTCTTTGATCGGCATTTGAACGGGGTCAATTGAAGAGCAAATGATCAGATTCAGATCCGGTCCACCTGACATTAATTTTAATAAGTTTTTCGGATAATTTAATTAACTATTATTATACTACTCAAATTTAGTTTTATCAACCATTATCAATAATTATTTTGAATATTTAAAAAGGATCATTATACTATAATTAAAATAAATGTTAGCGAATGGAAGAATGAGAGAGAAAGAATTTGAGTGTAAGAGAGATAGATAGAGGCGGGGAAGGATCGAGAATGTGAGAGTGAGATGGAGAGTGAGTGTAGAAAGCACTGGAATATTCTGGAAGCACGGAAAGTGTATATAGGGGAGAAAATAGGGGGAGCGTGAGTTCGAGAATGATCAGTTCGGTTTGAGATTGGTTAGAGAACAGTATGAGTTGAGACGAGTAAAGAGAGAGAGAGTTGAGAAGAGAAAGTCGAATCCGATTGAAATGTTTTGCATCTTTATCTTTAATTAATAAACGTTTATATTTCTATCATTTAAACAAAACAAAAAACCAGTTGTGTGTTGAGTTCATTTTAATTTCTAACAGAAATCAGAAGTGGGATTCTACCATAACTTTATTGCGCCTTACTTGGACAGAGGTGAAATGGACAAACTGCCGGGAGTCTAGAGTTACGCTGGTGTTGTGATGTACAGTAACGACGAGTTTGAACAGTTTGCGAGAGAGGTTCAAAATAAAGAGGATATTGAGGACAATTTGACTGAAATTAGTGATATTCCACCTGATGACGAAGACGTAATAATGACGGGGCAACAAAGAGATGTTGATTTTGAGAAAATCTCAGAAGGACAACGCGTGACGTTTCTTCTACAACAAATAATCGAGGAAAACCGACGACGTGATGCTGAGGCTAGAGCTAGAGACGGAGTTATACGGGGAATGATGGAATAGATGAATCAATTGAGTGCAAGGACCAGCAGCAGCAGTAGCAGTCCCTACGGACAGTTCAAGTTATTCACCTGACGTGACGAAAAATATTCCGAATTTCGATGGAGAGAGTGATTCAGTTTCAGCCAGAGATTGGCTCAAGTTGATAAACAGCAAACGAGTTGTCAACAATTGGCAGGACAACCACACGCTAGAGGCTGCACGATCTTATCTTGTTGGAGGAGCAAACCGTTGGCTGGAGATTAAATTGACAGAGCTGACGACGTGGCAATTGTTCGAGGCAGCATTCAAAAAAACATTCATCCCTCAAGAGACACTGACTGTAAAGTGGGAACGCATGAGAAAAAGAGTGCAAAAGGAGAATGAGGGAACAATAGCGTATGTTCTTGACAAAATCAAGTTGTGTAATGATCTGGGTTGACGATCGGAGAGATCAAGGCTGAGGTGCTGAAAGGATTGTGGTCACAGGTTTCCGTATCATTATTGAGTGTTAATATTAAGGACGCTGACACTTTGCTTCATGAAATTTTGAGGTTAGAACGAGAGATCAAGGATCGCAAGGAGATTATCAAGAGTTCAAAGGCCACTGAATCGAGTAAGAAACTTGATGCACGTAAATCTACTGCGAGTGGACGAACATCGAGCAGAACATCAGAGTCTGGAACGAGTAAGTCGACATCTAGTGAGTCCTCATCTTCAGTGAAAAAAAATCGAGTGAGTCATCGAGATGACATCAACAAACACCACCCCCGAGAGATGCTAATGGTGAGTTGATTTGTTTCAATTGCAAGAAAAGTGATGTGTCTCGAAATTGTCCAGAGCCGACGATTTGTAACAAATGTGGTGGTGAGGATCACACTTCCAAAACGTGCAAAGAGAATTCCACCAAATATAAATCAGCTGACGTGAATCAAGTGCAGAGCAATCACCGAGGAAATATCCAGAAGTACATTAAAACTGTAAAGGTCAATGACACGGACATGCAGGCAGGACATGCAGTTCATTGATACGGGGTGTGTAGAATGTACAATCAAAGCTACGATAGTTTTGATGAATGATTTCTCTATTTTTAAGGAGCCTTTGGTGCTGCAAGCCTGGGGATCTTCAGAGTTCAAGAGAACATCACCTGGATGGATCAAGACTTCCCTGAGAGTTGATGAAGTGAGTGCTGAGGACGTTATCTTCAGAGTTGTTCCTGATGATACTCAGCCAACTGATGTGATGATTGGGCGTACATTCACTGAGTTACCTCATCAATGCCTGAGATTTTTTGACAAAAGAGACCGAGTGTTCGAAGATCTTAAGCTCAACGAGATAACTAGGGATTCAGTAAGGATTGCTGAACCTATTGAGATGGCACCTGAGAGTATGAATTTCATTATGGTAGAGAGGAACCAGAGTGAGTTCATAGTGCCGGTGATGAATGTCACCAAAGAGTCTATCACACTAGAGGAAAACACTGAGATCGAGTTGAAGTTAATCGAACTTCCACGAACGCCTAAACGAGGAACATCAGTTATTACACGTGAGGATATCAACATTGGGGAGGATCAACCTGAGGAAGTGGTGAAAGAGCTGCTTGAACTTTTAAATGTCTATCGAAACTGTACCGCAGAGTTATTTATGGAGTTTAAGGAGTATCCTGAGAGCAAGCCTGTACAAGCCAAACTGTATCCAGCGAGCGAGAAGGAGAAAGCAGAGCTACGGAAGATCATCGATGATTGGAGACGAATTGGAGTTGTCCAAGACACTAATTCAGAGTATGCGAGTCCAGCATTTTTGATAAACAAGAGAACTGGAGGCTACAGGGCTTTAGTCGATTTTCGTCGATTGAATAAACAGACGGTGAAGCTAAAATTTCCTATGCTGGGAATTGATGATCATATGGAGTTGTTAGCGGAATCGAAGTTGTATATCGTCCTGGATCTAGCTCAAGGTTACCTTCAAGTACCGATACATCTACGAGACAGGCATAAGCCCTCCACCACTACCGCCTTCAGACTGCCTTCATCACTCCAGAAGAAACGGAGGAGTTCACGAGCATGACTTTTGGGTTAACAAATGCACTTTTTTATTTCACGAAATTGATGCATAAAGTACTGGGGCCCTTGAGGAATCGAGTTATTATATTTTATCTTGATGATATTCTTGTTCCAGGGAAAGACTGGACTGACTTGAAGGAGAGATTCATTTTAGTTCTAGAGGCCTTGAGGAGAGCTGGATTGACGATCAATCTCAAGAAATGCCAATTCTTACAAGATCGAGTGGAGTATCTGGGATTCAACATTTTACAATGGGGAATTGAGCCAGGCCGCAGGAAGGTGAAAGCTATTGAGGAGTTTCCACAATCGAGTAATGTTCACGAGGTTAGGAGATCCTTGGGTCTAGCTGGATTTTTCCGACGATTTGTAATCAAATTCGCAGAACGTGCTTCTCCCATGTCATCATTGCTGAAGGCTAATCGTGAGTTCATCTGGGGATCGCCACAAGAATGAGTTTTTCAAGACTTGAAGAGAGCACTAACGAGTAAACCTGTACTCCAACTGTTTGATCCAAATCGAAGCATTGAGCTGCATACAGATGCAAGTGCAGAAGGACTTGCCGCAATGCTACTTCAACCTGGAGAAGATGAGCTACTTCGTCTGGTATACGCCATCAGTTGTAGAACAACAGAACCAGAGAGAATGTATCACTCAAGTAAACTGGAATTACTTGCAATTGTGTGGGCTACAACGAGGTTGAGAGCTTTGCTGATAAATCATCACTTCAAGATCGTCACAGATTGCCTGGCGCTCATCTATTTAAATTCACAGAAGACGTGAAATCCACAAATTGCACGTTGGTACAATTTGCTGAGTGAATTCGACTTTGAGATTGAGCATCGCCCTGGGTCCAAGCTGCAGCATGTTGATGCCTTGAGTAGAGCACCAACAGAAGAAGCAGAGAGTGCTGAGGATTATCTAGATCGAGTCAATGTGTTCTCAGTCCTGAATGAGGAAGATGAAGTACTCATTTATCAATCCAAGGATGAAGAGTTGAGCAGGCAGATTAAATTACTCCGAGATGCTACGAGCAGAGAGCTGACAGCGTACGAGAAGAATGAAGTACAAGATTATGAGCTCCAAGGAGGTATCCTTTTCAAGAACGTCAAGGGAAAGTTGAAGTACGTCGTACCCAGAGCAATGAGGAAATCTATGGCTATCAGATTTCACAACCTTCAAGGACACTTTGAATTGGATCGCATTCTTGCTAAGCTGAACAACTACTATTATTTTCCAGGAATGAAAAAATATTTGAGGCAACACATTGGAGCGTGTCTTCATTGCATTCTAACGAAGAGTACGACTGGAAAGCAGCCAGGTGAGCTACACCTAATACTACCAGGTAGTAAACCTTTTGATGCTATCCACGTTGATCATCTGGGACCTTTCATCACGAGTAGCAGAGGGAATACCCACCTACTCGTTGTAATTGATAACCTGACTAAATCTGTTTGGATGGTACCAGTGAAGAATACTAAGGCTAATACTACTGTTCGACAAATGGAGGAGTTGGTGATGAATTTTGGAGCACCGGGACGTGTTGTTTCTGACAGGAGTACATGTTTTACCTCGGAGAAGTTTGCTAAATTTTGTCGAAGACACGGGATTTCACATACCCTGACTTCACCGAGATATGCACAGGTGAATGGCCAAGTGGAGCGAGTGAACCGCACCTTGTTACCTGTGATTTGTGCAATACTGCATCCTGAGAAGGAAGGTTGAGACTGGGATCGTCAGATACGAGAGATTGCATGAGATTTGAACGCTTCAGTGAACAAAACAACTGGGAAGACACCTTTTGAGCTTTTGTACGGTTATATTCCACGTTTTGAGGAGGGACCTCTACGACAACTCACAAAAGCTGAAGAAGCAGCAAGGTATGAACATCCTGAGGAGATTCGCAACCAAGCAATTCGACGAATCCTGAGTGAACAAGCGTCCATGAAGACTCGACACGACAGTCGTCATCGAGTCAATGTACAGTTTGAGGTTGGAGATGTTCTTTTCATGCAAACTTTCCCTCAAGCTACAGGTCAATCTACGAAACTCCATCCTAAATACAGAGGACCGTTGGTGGTGAATAAAGTATCACCACATGATACGTATGCAGTTGCTGATCTTCGAGTAGACGAGTCAGGTCGACGCTACGCCACAACTGCTCATGTGAGTCAACTGAAATTATGGAGACCCTCTCAAGATCTAGAGGACGAAGATGAGAGTAACGATTGGGAGTCAGTCAAGCCAATATCGACTCCAGCTGATGATGAGAATGCTGAAGATGGACTGGAGGCATCAGAAGAGGTTCGCGATAGATACGAAGAGGAACGAAGTACTAAACAGGGTCAGAAGACAGCAGAAGATGAATATACAGGTAGATCAAGAAGAATAAGAAAGAAACCGAAGCATTTTGATTATTTTGTTGTTTAAACTATTGTAACGGATTCGAGGACGAATCGAAGAGAAGATGGCCCAATGTTAGCGAATGGAAGAATGAGAGACAAAGAATTTCAGTGTAAGAGAGATAGATAGAGGCGGGGAAGGCTCGAAAATGTGAGTTAGATGGTGAGTGAGTGTAGAGAGCACTGGAATATTCTGAAAGCACGGAAAGTATATATAGGGGAGAGTGATCAGTTCGGTTTGAGATTGGTTAGAAAACAGTCTTAGTCGAGACGAGTAAAGAGAGAGAGAGAGAGTTGAGAAGAGAAAGTCGAATCCGATTGAAATGTTTTGTATCTTTATCTTTAATGAATAAACGTTTATATTTTTATCATTTAAACAAAACAAAAAAGAAGAAGTCGTGTGTTGAGTTCATTTTAATTTCTAACATAAATTTTTTATCATTATTTATTGACTGTACACTGGTACATGGTACCATTTTTTACAGGGGGAGTCCGCATGTTTGTACAGTTTAGATGTACTTGAGTAGAATATAGCAAATACAAAAAAAAGAAAAAACATTTGGGCTAAGATAAGAAAAGAAATATAAGAACATAGCAAGGGATAAAAAAAGAAATAGGTAAAAATAACATCAAAAGCAGATATCAACAGGCTCGATATAATTCAGTCATTTAGTTCGGATGATCTAAGTTGGAAACCGCTCTTGACAAAACAGTAAATGTTCCCAGAACAGACAAAATCATTGTTGTTGAGAAAAGCAGAGAGACTCGATTTGGTTAAGAAGTCAGTATCTACAATGTATGAAGGCAAGTAGTGTTTGCGGATTGGATAATAAAAGGGGCAGGTGAACACGATGTATGGAAGGTCTTCAGGACAGTGCAGATGACAGAGGATACAAACTTGCTGAGGATCAATATCGTAAAGTACATTGTCTATTTTGAATTTTTTAGAGTGAGAAGTAAACATCCGGAGTTGTATTTTAACTCTCGTAAATTTGAATGGGCATCTTTCCGGGTAAAAAGTGTTGAAATTGTCTAGTGGGTGACGGAAGACCTTCAATTGGACCGAAGTAGAATTGCACTAGCTTTGGTAATCGACAAACTTCAGTTTAGCTCGCAACTCCTCCAGAATCTCGGGAGTGGTGGAAATCCACCAAGTGGACGTCATGTTTTTCCATAGATCGTCACAGTTGATACCAGTAAGGTATTTTTTGAGTTGAAGGGCCCAGTTGTACGTTGGGGAGGCGCAGGTGAGGTCGACTGAGTTAGCCAGTGCAAATTGCTTCAGGAGGCATACCTTGGAGAGGCGGTGTGGCTCCATGGTCAAAATCTTTATCACCCAGCGAAGGGCTTGTTTAATAATCTAATAGGTAGCCAGGTGCATAAGGCGGACGGTTAAAGAGCCTCTTCAAAAAGTGTAGTTGGCCGTCTCAAGAAGATCCAAATAGCAGAGCCCCCAGATTGAGGCCGTATAGGTAAGAGTAGACTCCACAACGCTCGTGTATAGGTTGGAGATGGCCGCCCAGGAGTCTGCCCGAAGCTTGGGGAGCAGGCGGAGTACCGCACCCGCAGTACTTTTTGCTTTCATGATCGCAGCTTTTGTAGCCATCAGTCCTTTTGCTGAAGAGGAGAATTCAACTCCTAGATAGATGTAGTTTGAGACCTTTTCGACTGGAGAGGCGTAGAGTTCAAAATCATGGTTGCATGTTGGCAAGGGGCCTCCTTTTCTGAAAACAACCACTTTGGTTTTGCTAATGTTAATCGTGAGTTCGTTCGTTGTACAATATTCCTCAAGTATTTGTAGCTTGCGCTTCAAATCTACGGAGCTGTTAGCAAGAACAATGAGGTCATCTGCGTAGAGGAGAAGGACAGCATCGTTGTGTTCATCAATATCAACCCCTGTAGCTCCCTTAGCACGAAAAAAGGATACTATGTCAGATAGAAAGAGATTAAAGAGCAGAGGGCTTAGTTTTTCTCCTTGTAGAACTCCCTAACTGATTTCCACTGAATTTGTAACGCCGCTGGATGTTTTTATAAACATTGAAGAGTGGTCATAGAGGTCATAGAGTGGTCAAAGTCTTTGATGATTCTGATAAGTTTACAGCTGACGTTGATGTTGAGTAGTTTCTTCCAGAGAAGGGAGTGTGACACGGAGTCGACGGCTCGCCAAAAGTCAACTAAAAGTCCATAGACCTTACCTCCAGGGAGCCTCAGCCTTTTGAACAAGATCAGTTGGAGAGCCATAATATTATCCATTACTCAGGTAGGATATTATTCTCCTCAGCCCAGGCGTAAAACCTGTTGTTCAGAATCGAGGTAAATGTTTTTGTGGTGTTATTTACCAACGCTATTCCTCGGTAATTTAGCGGCTCAACAATTTCACATTTCTTGTGTATCATGCACAAGACTATGCTTGTCCATGATGTAGGGACTTTCCCAAGTCTAAAAACCTCGTTGAAGAGGTCCAGAAGATATTGCCTCCATTCCAGGGGCAGGGCTTTTAGGAATTCATTTGATATATTATCCTCTCCTGGAGCCTTGCCCTTCTTTACGTGTTTGAGACAGATACTTATCTCCTTTATCTGAATTACTTTATCAAGGGGGGAGATATCGGAGGAGTTTGAGTGCTGGAGATTTAACTGGAGAGGGGCCCTCGGTGGGTACATACTTTGTAGAAAGTCATTCCAGGCATCCAAACTAATGGCTTCAATCCTAGGAGGTCTACTTTTAGCAGAGGCAACTGTTTTCCAGAAGACGAAGGGGTTTCTGATGTTAGCGAATCTGTTTGCTTTTTTGTCGTAGTGAACAGCTTTTTTGTCCTTAATCAGTTTTTTGTACGTTTTCATTTTACCGTCGAATTCAACAGCTAAGGGTTTGTCAAAAGCTGGTTTATAAATCGTACCATAAGATTTGTGGAGTTCCTTTTTCAGACTAGCACATTCTCCGTCAAACCAGGGATTTTTGGTCCTCTTCCTCGAAAGGGGATCTTTGCCGATACCCATTACAGGTTTGGACATTCCACAGACAGTTGCAGCCTCTTTGATAGCCTTCGTTAGAGCAAAGCATCTTGCATCGATGTCCTTAGTCGTTGTAGCCTTAGTATAGATGGGTGAGTTACCCAGTTCTTTTACAAAGTCAACTGCTTTATCATTACGCCAAAGTAGGGTAGCTGATGGTGTGTAAGTTGACTTCAGGTTGGATGGGAGCGTTTGCAACTTGAGGTTTGCTTCACAGGCACTGGGGTCCACAGTAGAGAAAAATAGCTGCACGGTAATGGATTGTCTCTCCTTGGATCCAACCATCTGGTTGGATCCAAGGAGATCCGCACAGACCTTCATGTCGTACACTAGGTCTGCCTCGTCGAGGTTTACCCAAGCCAGGTCGTGTGTAGTAGCACTTTTGGAGCTGGTGAATCTTGCTGGGGAGTCAGATCTGGACGTTCCGTTGAGGAGAATGAAGCCATTTTCGTTCATAAAATTCATCAGAGCCTCTCCCCTGAGATCTGTAGCTTTGACTAAGTATTTGCGAGAGTAATCAAGTCTAGTACCTTGTAAGTCGTCTGGAGAGAGATCGTCATCGAAATCGGCCACCGTGGCGTTCACATCCCTACCAAGAATGAAGATGTCGTCAGCATATCTAGGTAGGATTACATCCAGTGTTGATTGCAGCATCTCCAGGGCGTGTTCCAAGTGGAGCGATGGCTTGAAGTATAACGATCCAATCGTGGCAGACCAAGTGGAGGTTTTAATACGAAAGAGGATCCACCATGGTGTAATTTCGAATTTCTAACATAAATTAAATTAATTTAATTTAATGAATTTAATTTAGTTAATCAATTTCATTAACAGCCAGCCCTTCTCAAATGTACAGAAAGGAGGGATGATGATGCCGTAAATACGTATTAGAGGAGTATCAAACTTACCAGGGTTGCCAGATTTTGGCTATTTATAGCCAAATCCTGTACAGTTTTAAATGGGCCGACGTTACGATCTGGTCACACTGAAACTTACACGAAAATGATCTTACGAAAAAAAATCACCAAATGTCTATTTATTTATTAGTGTTATTTTTATTATTATTATCCATTAATGAAATAAATAAAAATTTAATTGAGTATATCTTATCTCTGAGAATACACACGCACATCCGCGTGATCAGGAGTAATCGTAAATTCAACGAATACCCCGATACAAATCATATAGGTAATGTACAGTTTACTCAATAGTAATAGTGCGATAGCGTAGTGGTTAGGGCATAGGATTAGCAATCATAGGATCCCCGGTTCGATCCCCAGCATCGGTAAAAAAATAATAAGCTTCTTCAGAGGTAATAACAATAGAGATTCATTAAGAGGGTCGGCCTACGGTGAAAGAATTGAATTACCTTTTGTTTTGAATTAATTATCATTGATCATTTTTATTGATACTGACAGATAGGTTATCCGGTTTTCATACAGTTGACTTGATCAAGTTCGGATCCATTCGTCCTGATCAAATCCGGATTGGTCAGAGGCGTAACATGTCTGATCAAGACCGGATCCGTCAACTTGATCAAGACCTGACCGGAATTTCCACTCGGGGATTGTTATCGATAGAAAACCATGAATTCAAACCATGAATTTAATATCTCGGATATTCAATACGATCAAGTCGGTTGCTTTTATATAGACATATAAATATATATACCATTTACTCAAAAAAATAACTCTTTGTAGAGATAATTTTTGATTTTGGCGTTTCTTCGTTGTTGTCTTGTGAAAACTTTCAATGGATCTCATAATCGAACACCCGAAAAACTACATATAATTGTCCGTGATTGAAAACATCTCTCAGATCTACACCAATATTACAAACATCATAAAAAAATCAGAATCATCATCATGCATGCATGCAATTTCTCTTTCAGAATATTCAGGAATAAAAGTGTGACATCTCCTTTTTATATAAGAACCGAACGCGCGCTACAGCGGGCTGCAATTGTAACAATCATAATTGAAGATCTCAAAATTAAATTAATCATGAATTAAATTTTCCGCCTCAGACGACTGAAACTAATGAGAAATAAGCGTGACAGACTTGCGAGATATCGATAGTTATCGACTTTAAGTGTATGTTCTTTTTAGAATAGGATAGGATTGGGCCTGAAAAACGCGATCTAACCGAGCGAAGTGAGGGAAGAATTGCGGTTTATCGGGCCTGGTATTACAAAATATAGTTATAAATATAGACACATGTGCGGCGGGGGTTTTTCAGCTCCTGTCATTGGCACCACTCGGCTTTGCCTCGGGCCGCCAACTTCATAGCCCCGAAAAACCCGTCGCACTTGTATCGAAATATACTAATTTTCTAACTTACTAGATTCGCCCGCGTGCAGGGCGCTCGGATTCTCTGTATTACGCGATTGTATAATTTCAAATAAAACAAGTGGGAAATTGCCCCTGCATCATATATAGTATGGTTTTTTTCCTAATAGATTAGCAACATGCTTCCGAATGGTCATTTTGCATACTAATTTTGTTTTTATTTTTCTATAATCATGATTGTTCACTTCTACAGTTTCGTATTCTATGTTATTGTTTTCTATGGAATTTTTCTTATTTCTCTTATTGTTTACGATCAATCATATTACCAAATCGGTAGTAATAATCAATCATTTTTTTGTATACTCTTTTAGGTTTTCACGACTTATTCTCATTTCTCATTTTATCCCTTCGTATTGCATTTTCTGAGGGGCAAAGGTAAATTTCACTTTTGAAAAACCTCCCTTGAGTCATTTTTATGAGATAATTTGTGTGAGATTGGAGTGTCATGAATTTTGGTCTTTTTTGACCGGCTATCGAATCCAAAAATTCTCGCATGCCAACTCGGACATTTTAATCGCACCGCCATGTTTGTTGGTGGTTACAATAATCGAATTTTCATGATGATTATAGTGAAAGAGTTATTCAGTTATGGGATATTCCATGTTGACTCAGCTACCTCGATTTTTTCTGTTTCATGAATGTTAATTGATACGTTCAATTTCAAGTACTTATACGAAAAAAATTATCTCGGTTTTTTTATCATTTTATGGCCCTTAGATTATTAATAAAAGTTGTTCCATAAAAGTGCAATGTTTTTCATTGTTTCAACATAAGATTTATGAATATTATGAATGAATATATCGCCTTGACAAATGAAAAAAAGTAAGTGGTATATTTTTCGGCTTCAAGAATTATGAGCCAAAAATGATTTTTTTTTCACAATCTTTTTTTTCAGAATTCTTCGTTCAACAGAGTAAGGAGTTCATTAAGATGGGACGCTTCATGAAACATGGATTTTTTATGTAATCTAGAAAGTTGGGCATGTCGCGTCAATCGTTTCACAGTGCAATAACACTTCAGAATGAATGTTGTTCAAAAATTCATCCAAACTGACTGGCAACAATGACTACGAAGAAGAACAAAATGAAATCATCATAACATCACTTTCTCAAATCTATACCTGTTCTCTTTTGTACTTTCTATCTGGGTTTTCTAAAGAGAATATGGATTATGAGTCCCGGATAACTAAAATCTTAGATTGTTAAATCTAATATTATAGTTGCTCATAACAGGTTTGCATCGATCCTTTTCATGAACCTCAATTTTATGAATGTTAAATATATAGTATATATATATATATATACAACGAACTGCTTTTTTCAATGACTATACAGTCGATCCAAGCTTCCTTGATGATAATTAGGCTAACTAAAATCTTCTTCATGCATATGACAAACTTTTTGATATAGCATTGTTAAAGATGATGCGAATCAAATTGAGACATAATATTCTATACTTGCCTCGTAATTTTCAGTATATTTTCTCAGAAAACATTTATTCACACCTAATTGGATGCATTTAGCACAAGTTGCTGGGAAAAATCATCAAAAACCGAAATTTCCAAAAAATTGATGAAAATTTTCCGAATTTCCAAAAATTATCCCAAACATAAGATTTATCGAAACAGCTATCGTGATTATCTTTTAACTCTGACTTAGTAACGTTGAAACAAACATTTTAATCTATGATTGAATCCATTTGAGGGCGAAAATCCAGAGATATCTACAGTACTCTGATTAAAATTTTTTTTTTCTTTCTTCTGATTTTTCGAAAAATTAAACTGACGATGATTGCTATCACCTCCATCTCCGAACTCGGTCAAGAAGAGACCCCAACGATTTTTTGAGCCGTCATTTAATGAATTTGAAACATTTTTTTTTTAGTTATCGTAAAAAAACCGATTTTCAAAAAAATTCAAAAATTTTAAAAATGAATGAATGAATTAAATTTTAATTTATGGTGGTAGATAGGGCTCACCAATACCTACATTTGAGGGAAAAAAATTATTCGATTCCATCGCTTCCCTAGCGCACAATCGAAAAAAACTTTTGTTACATACACACGCACATACATACACACGTACGGACACGGTCTAAAAAATGCATATTCGGACTTTTGGGGTCATAATTAGTTCATATAAAACAAAAAATCAAAAACTTAAATTTGTATGATTACAATGCTTCCATTCGGAAGCAAAAAGCGATATTGTTGTTTATAAGATTCAAGAATCGGCGATTTCGTTAAAAATACGCAAAAAGCGTTCACCTTAGCTTGGTAATAGAATATTGAAATTAAAATTATTTTTCATTCAGTTTAATATAGTTTAATATTTATATGGTATATGCATACATTATATAATATAAATGAATATATAAACGTATATAAATTCATATTGGTATATTAGAAAACTAAATTTTATTATATCATCTGCATTTTTTAAAGCATTTTTTCATCTTTTTTTTGGAAATATAATATACAGTTTTTTTATATAATATATTATATATAATTACGATACTATAATTCAAGTTTTATATACTAAAGGAAGAAGAACGTTAGGCGGAACAGATTGGCTTCAAAAAACGTTATACTGAATTTTTTATTAAAGGGAAAATATATCACATTTTGAATGTATCTATTGGGTGTTTGGGTGATGTCTCTCTTCTTTGTCATTTGTCATTTCATCAATTTTTTGTCTCTCAATTCGTCACGTACTCGTTATTTCAAATAATTGCATCCAACTTCTAATAATTGTTGAATTCTCAGTGATAGTTTCTTGCTGTTTAGCATTTTGCGGGAGTGACATTTCAATGAACAGATTATTGTTCCGTGACAATGAAACTGGCTTTAAGTCTGTATGCAATTAGTCACCTCTCTCAAGGATTTCCGAGTGCAAACTTGGTGCAACTGAGTGCAACCGTGAGTTATTGCTTATTAGAAAGAACATTCATCGACCCGTCGAAGGATTTTTTTTATGTCCAGCGTCATCTATTCAAAAATCAAATGGATTTTATATTAATAGTATGAACACAGCTCAAATTCTAAAATTATTAGAAACTACAAGGAATTTCTAGGATTCGTAATTAAATTCGGTATTGTAATTTTGTAAATTGAATAGCGTTTTAGTGTTTCAAAGAAATATATTGAACAATCAGATTTTAACCCAGTGTTTTACGGGAAAATCAATAATTTGAGATATTTTGAGAGTGAGTAAGAATAAAAATATGCTTTTTTTTCATTAAATGAGTAAGTGTGCATAAATTTATTGCTAACTGATAAAACATGATGAAAAAACACAAATATGTTGCTAAATGTAATTTGAATAATACCGATTGATATAAACTTTTCTTGATTTTTTTCTCATATAATACACAAAAAGTTGGAAAATTTGAAAACTGAAAATATCATCCAATCTTCAATGCGGTTTGGACAAGATTATTGTCTGGGGTCAAATTCCTTCACGTTTCAAATGAATTGGATAAAAATGTATCTTTATGGAAATATGAATGTAGAAGAGATGAATACCGTATTGATGATTTAATAAATTGCGATTGTTAACAATTCAAGAGAATGAATGCTTCCATCTCACTTATCACGTTCCCCCTCAATTAATGACAGACTCAAAGAGATAAAACATGATTAACATTTATTTTTCTGAGGTCACAGGGTACAAGCCCCCTAATACAATCCAGCCAGACTTGTCTCAATCTTCCAATCATCCGTAGACGAGTTATCCTCAACGACCTAACTGCACATCAAGCAATTCTCGGGGTCACGTTGCACAGGTCAGTGCATCTTCCCTAATACCTTACGGCTCAATATGCAAATGAAATTAACAAAAATTTTTCGTCTTCGTTTTTCTCCTCAGGTCTCACAGGCGGAGGCGGGTCAATTAAATATTAAATTTAATAATATTGATTGTTTTGTATGGTTTTATTTCATTCCCTTGGAATATTTGAGAAGTTGTTCCAGTATGTAAGAGTACGTGATAAATGTTATGAAGAATGCAACTTATTTGGAGATTGATTGAATTTTATATATTGTACAGCCAGAATATACGTAAGGTTCATGAGTCCGATGGAGCCTATACCCATATCTTATAAATATAACTGTATTGTTATACTTGTAAAGATACTAAGACTATCTATACGGTATAAGGATAGGATAATTTATGTTAATTTTCATGAAATAATTTGACTAAAATTTGCAATTTCTATCGTTTTTTTGTCAAATCGTGAATTCTCATTGACGAAATACGTTCGAAATTCAGTGAAAATGTCGCTAAACAAAAATATTGAAAAGAAGAAGTATACCGAAAATTCAAACCTAAAATTTCTACTATTGCATGGAGAACGCAATAAACTAGCGATACAACCAGAGTCTCCTCTCACAATCGAAAGAGAAATAGCAGAAGAATAGCGAATAAACAAATTCTCTGCAATGCCGTCACACTAAATACCGAGTTAAGAAATTCCAGTGACACGTTTCCCTCGACAGAAATCCCTCAAGGGCGATTCAAGACCGCAAACTGGGGGAGATGGAATCGCCAATGAGATCAAAGCGTTAACACCTCCGGGTGTTCACGAGGTCTAGGAGAACGCAAAATGAATGAATCAGTTAGATCTCAGCGATGAGAAAGATAACGCACGAGTTCCGCGTCTCCTCAATACTCATATCTATCGAACTGCCTTCATCAATTTTGTGTCATTAATCGCGACAAGTCTGGGGTACAGAGGCCAGCGGCTATCGAAAACAAATCTAGTGAAAATATTGAAGCCCTCGTGTTTGATTTTCAGGTGCTCAAGCACTCTATTGGTAACGATAGCCGATAAGATTATTAAAGTAGTATGGATAAACTCCAGTTGAGTCTTGACTGTGACGAGAAAAAATGAACTCAATAAGACAAAACTAGTATATTATCTCATCAGGCGATAATAGTATATTATGTCATTAGGCGATAAAAGTATTTTATGGCACGCCGTGCAATAAGTCGAGTTTATCGCACGCTGCGCTTTGCGCAGCGTGCTTCAAACTCGACTTCTGCACGTTGTGGCATAAAATAGTATAGACCACTCGGGCATAAACTTCGTTTTCAACGAATGTGAAGTTTACAGGCCGAGCCGAAGGCCAGGTCTGTATTCACATTCGTCGAAAACGAAATTTGTGCCCTCGTACTCTAATGTACTAATCTGGCGAATGTGATTATAATCCTCGCCTTCGGCTCGGATTATAAAACCACAAGTGCGTAAAGTTCCACTTTTTCACACGCACGTTAAAATATCCTATTTTTTGTGGTACCTGCCGAGTTCACTGTTCGGAACGGTAATGGTGATAATGTGGTTGTTTTTGTGCACGAGTGCGTAAAGGTTAAGGGCGTGCGTAAAGTGAATTTCGAGTGCGTAAAGGGGACCCTGGTATCCCGAGCATTCACTTTACGCACGTCCTGCAGAAAACAACTGCTTTACGCACACTAAACCGTTTCGAAAGATGCACTTTTGAGGCAGGAATCACAAAAAAATAAGTGAAAAAACAATTTGATGACTCAATTTCTCACACTGTCAACAAAGTTATAATAGAATTCATGGGAAAAACTCTCAATGATGAAAATTTTTTTTATGTCATTAGGTCCGATAAACTCGCTTCGCTCGGTTAGATCGAGGTTTTCGGGCCCAACGCCATACAATAGCGTATATCACACGGCGATAAAAGCATTATCGCCTAAAAGCATTCGCCAGAAAAAGTGGAACTTTACGCACTACTAACACAATATACTATTTTTAAACAATAGTGTCTCGTTTGACTAGGGTGTTTCCAGATAAAAACAAATTATTTATGACAAAAGTTTGACACTGGCCATAATTATCATATTGGGCATAGAATTTTCATTTATTTTTCATCAATTGTGCGTAAAGTGAAATTTTACGCATGCTCCGCGAGCACAAAATCCCACTTTTCACACATTGTGATGAAAAATATCGTTCGATACTCATGGGAAAAGTGTGTTTTGGCTCGTGCAATTATACCACTCGCCTTCGGCTCGTGCTATAAACCTCCCGCGCGCCAAAAACACTTTTCCGCACTTGTATCGAAATATACTATTTCATCACTTGTGGGATTATATCACTCCCCTTCGGCTCGTGCTCGAAATCTCCCACGAACAACACTTTTCCGCACGTGTATCGAAATTTACTATTTTATGACTTGTGCGTAAAGTGGAATTTTACGCACGCTCCGCAAAATTTCATTTTCCAAACATTGTGATGAAATAGTATACTGTGTTACTAGTACGTAGAGTTCCACTTTTTCACACGCACGTGTAACACATCCTATTTTTTGTGGTACCTGCCAAGTTCAGTGTTCGGAACGGTAGTGGGGGTTGATGTGGTTGTTTTGTAGAAGGAATTGAGTGATTTAAAATTCCATTCGATTCATTTTGCAAAAAAAACTTCGGATGCATATTTTTCTGGATTTTTTGTAATTTACTCTTTGGTTGAGCTTTCTGTGATGGAAATATCCACCGAAGTATTTTTTTTTCAATTTCTTATCGAAAATTAGGATTTTTTCGATTTTTTCAACTCGCAAAAACTCTACTAGTCCACAATTTTGGATATTTTTCAACGAATTTTTTTTCATGGATTCGATATGACCTTCCGCAAAAGTAGTTGAAATTATTCAGTTCGTTTTGTTGAATAAAAAATGAATGTCATTGAAAAATGAAAATTTCATGCTGTTTCGTGCCTAAATTTTTTTTACATAAGGAAGAAGTTTAAAAAAATTTGTCGAAATTTCTCATTAAATACTTATGGTACTTGTCAAAAGTGATGTGACCCCCACTTAATCATTATCAATGTTACTAGACTGCCGATTGAGCATCAACTCAACCGGAATATTCCTATTTATGTTAACTTTCGTTTAGAATTTATTCCAGATTTTAAACTTCAAAATTCAAGTTATGTTTATACTACTTTAAGTGATACATGTACCCACAGAGGATACGTTATCCACATTATATTGATTACCACGCGCGAAAAAATTTGATCGAAAAACCTATCGAATTCGCTAGAAAATTCTATTAGATTTCTAAGGAGCTTTCTATTAGTTTTTGGCAGTTTCTATTGAAACGTTCAATAGAATTTTTCTACAGAATTTCCTCGACTCGAATTTTCTAAGTTGTTTTGTTTGATTATTTTAATGAGAAAAAAAGAAAAATTTAATGAAAAAAAATTTGAGCCAAGCAAATTCTATAGAAAATATCTCCATAGAATCAGTTTTATAAGAAATCGAATTTCGTAGACTTTTTCTATAGAATATTGTCCATTGAACATTTCAATAGAAACGGCCACAAACTATACTTTCAATAGACTATAGTTTCAATAGACTATAGCCAACAAAATTCGATTTTTTATAAAATTTATTCTATTGACATACTTTCTATAGAATTTCCTCGGCTGAATTTTTTTTTCATTCTATTTTTCTTTTCTTCTCATTAAGAAAATCAAAGAAAAGAACTTAGAAAATAGTAGAAAGTTCAATAGAAATCCAATATAATTTTCTAGCGAATTCGCTAGTTTCTTCTAATAAATTTTTTCGTGCGTGACAGTTCCGATACATTTCAATCGTGATATTAAATAAAAATTGAATGGACAGTGGGAGAGAAAATAGAAGTTATAGTTTATGAGTCGGAGAGTGGAACGGATGTAGACACGTCAATCAGTTCTGGAGTGAGTGGATACAAATAGCGGCCCCGATTGGGTGATAATGACTGACTGATTGTGAGTTCGGTGCGCGTGCACTTGATTGTGAAGAAAACGAATATGAATAGTGACAGTGGAATTCAGAGAAGGAGATGAGGGGAAATTCCTCGGATGAAAACTAATGGTGATGAGCTAATTCAGTTATTGTAGTAGTGAAGTAGTAAAACCAGTTAATGGAATGTATTCAGAATATTCATGGGCGCAGGGATTACATCATAATCAAATTATCGATTCACGTTTTTTCATAAACAAGTTCGAAATTTTTTCATAGAAAAAATAAATCAAAAGAGTAGATCTGGAAGAGTTTATCTTGCTATAACAGGTATTTTATTGAGATATTTTTTTTAGTAATTCGTTGATATTAATTGTTCAAGTTTTGCTTTTCACCGAAAAATTTAAAAATGACAACCCGAAAAATTCAAGCTATGGAATTTTTTTAGAAATAATTCTAACGGAATTTCATATTATATAGAACGATTTGTTTATGTAAAACGCTCGTAATTTTCGAATATTGCTATTTTTGCTTGTAAATGCAATCTTTTGCAATCGTTCAAATTTAAGTTTTGGATTTTTGTGTTATATGAACTCAGTATGATCCAAACAGTTCAAAAATACAATTTTTATTAGTTGTCCATACGTGTGTGTGTAGTGTACGTATGTAACAAAGTTTTTCTTCACTTATTCGATAACGAATAAATGGAATTAAATCTTTTTTTTTTTCAAATGTAGGTATTGTTGAGCCCTATCAATGGTCATTAATTAAAATTTAATTCATCGATTAGTTTTTTTAATTTTCAATTTTTTTCGAAAATCGATTGAATGATGGCTTAAAAAAATTGTTTGGATGTCCTTTTGACCGAGTTTGAAGATGAAAGCGATAGCAATAATCGTTATTTTGATTTATTCGAAAATTTTCAAAAATTTGGTATTTTTTGAAAATGAGAATTCCGGGGAAATTTTTGAAAATCAGACTTGAAATGGATTCAATCATAGCTTAAAATGTTAGTTTTAATGCCATCAAGTCGCAGTTGAGAGATGATTACGATAGTTATATCAGTTGATTTGATTTTTATGATGATCGTTGAAAATTTCGAATTTTTCATGAATTTCCCAGAAAGTGAGCTTTCTGACGGTTTCTTCAAATGTGATATTTCAAATTCATTCAAGTATGTATAAATAAAAAAATTTCGAGGTAGAACCGTAAAAAAGACAATCGCTTATATAGAAGCAATTCCAAAGCAGCATTCCAATAACTTGAAAATCTGACAAAATTAGTTCAAAAGAAATCTTATTCAATCTAATAAAATTAAATAAACAATGAATTATACATGATAGAAGGAAGTAATGCGCAAAATAACCATTCGGATGCATATTGTTAATTTATTAGCAAAAATAACTATACTATATGCAATACAAGAGCAATTTTCTAGTTGTTTAATTATTTAATTAATCTTTCTCCAAAAGTAAACTTTCTAATTTTTTTTTAGATTTTTAGAATGTTTTCTAACGGTTCAATATCGAGATTCAAATTCAGACCTGCACTGATAGAAACGATTAGTTATTGTGAACGAATGGATTTGGTTGGAGACGAGGGTCTATTCGGTCCCACCAAATGTTCATTCGTTAATAGTTAACAAATGCACATTTGAGGAGCCTTGTTGACTCAATTTTCACTTTCCAAGTAAACCATTCGTTAACTATTAACGAATATTCATTTGTTCATCTTCAACTCTACCACTCGTTAATAGTTAACGTATCCCGTTTGGAATAAATGAATCAGTCTATCAGTGTGCACAGTTTAAATGATAAAATCATTGTAAAATGTCCGGAAACTTAGGGTCAAATGAAGCTCAAATGAAAGCTCTGATGCTCGACTACAAAACTAGAAAAGCATTTCACTGGAGAAAAAATAGCCACAATACTTGGATATCCTTACCCATTGCGGCGCGGAGTTCACGGGGAAGTATCGATGTGAGGAAAGTGGGGGGACCGTTTGGGTTTAGTGCACCGTAAGAAAAACACTACGGAGGTCGCGCACCACCACAAAAGGACGAAGAGTGGGGTACCGCGACGTACGGCAATCGGTTGAACTCATATTTATTTCATCTATTTCTCATAAATCCTCTATTAAAACTAAACAAACGATTTATATTTAATGCAAACAGAGGATCACGTTGAAATATTACGTTGCAATTATCATTTGATTATCTCCCACCATGAAAACCACTTAATCTCGCTCCGATAACGAAAACAGTATCAATTTGGACAATATTTCGGGGGCACGGGTGGATGAAATGCTGGGTTAATTGACCACATCAACTGTGTAGTAGTTGCTGTAGTATATCGCTTGAAATTTGATTCCATGTTTATAGTTTTGTGTTATGAATGTATTTGGAGTGAGTCGAAGTTTTATTGACCTGGTGACCAGACTGCTCACTCTGTTCTCCGGTTCAGGGGCTTGTGTTGCGAACGAGTTTATCGAGTGGAAAACAAGTATTTAATTACATTTTGCTGATACGAGTATGTAATCGTTATTTTATATTGAATTTGTAATGAGTATTATAATAACTACTTGAACCACGGTATGGGATACATAAGAATGAATTTGATGGAAAAATCTTACGAATTTGATAGAAATGTCTATCGAATTTTTATTGTGCTTTTATTGGAAATTCTATTAGTTTTTGGCCGATTTTATTGAAGAATTCCGCTGTTTTACGGCAATTTTTTTTTTAGAAGATTTTCAATAGAAATTATTGTATAAAAAAAATCGAGAAAATTTCATCTATACTTTTTTTCTATTGAGACATTTTTTGTAAGAATTCCTCGAGATAAATATTCCAAAACGTCGATTTCACTCTACTTTTCTTCCCTTTCAACTTCCAATAGCCCAAAAATGATATGAAGTAGGAATAATCAAAATCAATTTGATTATTAAAACTCTTGAGGAGATCCAAGTGCTTTGGCTATTTTTTCTCCAGTGAAATGTTTTGCTACTTTTGTAGTTGAACATCAGAACTATCATCTGAGCCTCATTTCACCCTAAGTTTCCGGACATTTTACAATGATTATATTATTTAAACATTGTAGGTCTGAATTTGAATTTCGATATTGAACAGTTGGAAAACATTTTAAAAATCAGGAAAAAAATTAGAAAGTTTACTTTTGGAGGAAGACTGTTGAAATAATTAAAAATTGCAATTTTTGAAAATTTCAAGCATTTTCTATGCAATTATTTATAAACCAAAAAAAATTTCAACTATAAAAATCATTTGTTTGGAATCGCAATAAATTTATTCACATTCAACATTTTACCAGAAATCGATTTCATGTAAAAAAAAATAGTTTCCGAAAGCTTAAACAATTTCAATTATTGTTATAAATTATTAATTTCAATTAATGTTAAAAAATAATAATAATACGATGCAAAATGTAATTTGAATGACATTGCATATTTATGATTAAAAAAAAATAATTCTCACTTAAGTTAATTGACAAATTTGATGATTGGAAATGATTAAATCTATAGTGTAGTCTGTACTAAACTGTAAAAGACACTACGAGCATTCTCTATAAATGATTTATTAACAATCAATTTTCTGCCATAAAAATCATTTGTTCGGGATCAAAACTAATTTATTCATATTCACAATTTTACGAGAAATCGATTGTCATGTCCAAAAAAATAGGGTTTCTGAAAGTTTAAACAATTTCAATTCTTGTTATTATTCATTAATTTCCATTAATGCATAAAAAAAATAATGATTTTGTGCAAAATGACGCTGAGTATTCACGATTTTTTTTCAAACTTTTCTCACACAATTTAATTGATAAATTTGATAATTACTAATAAAAAAAAATTTATGATTGGAAATGGTTGAATATGTAGTGTGGCCTGTACTAAACAGTAAAAGATACTACGAGCATTCTCTATAAATGATTTATCAACAATCAATTTTCCGCCATAAAAATCATTTGTTCGAGATCACACAAAATTTACTCATATTCACAATTTTACAAGAAATCGATTGTCATGTCCAAAAAAATAGGGTTTCTGAAAGTTTAAACAATTTCAATTCTTGTTATTATTCATTAATTTCCATTAATGCATAAAAAAAATAATGATTTTGTGCAAAATGACGCTGAGTATTCACGATTTTTTTTCAAACTTTTCTCACACAATTTAATTGATAAATTTGATAATTACTAATAAAAAAAAATTTATGATTGGAAATGGTTGAATATGTAGTGTGGCCTGTACTAAACAGTAAAAGATACTACGAGCATTCTCTATAAATGATTTATCAACAATCAATTTTCCGCCATAAAAATCATTTGTTCGAGATCACACAAAATTTACTCATATTCACAATTTTACAAGAAATCGATTGTCATGTCCAAAAAAATAGGGTTTCTGAAAGTTTAAACAATTTCAATTCTTGTTATTATTCATTAATTTCCATTAATGCATAAAAAAAATAATGATTTTGTGCAAAATGACGCTGAGTATTCACGATTTTTTTTCAAACTTTTCTCACACAATTTAATTGATAAATTTGATAATTACTAATAAAAAAAAATTTATGATTGGAAATGGTTGAATATATAGTGTGGCCTGTACTAAACTGTAAAAGATACTACGAGCATTCTCTATAAATGATTTATCAACAATCAATTTTCCGCCATAACAATCATTTGTTCGAGATCACACAAAATTTATTCATATTCACAATTTTACAAGAAATCGATTGCCATGTCAAAAAAAATAGGGTTTCCGAAAGATTAAACAATTTCAATTCTTTTTATCAATTATTAATTTCAATTAATGCTTTAACAAGCAATGGTAGTGGGCATATGACACCGAGCCCGTGACAGTGAGCATGTCATTGAGTGATTTTTTTATTTTTTTTATCGCCATCAATACATTGATGGTAGGCTTCCGAATGGCTAGAGCCAAATTTCAAGTTGATATCTCCATTTTTGCGGATGCTATAGTGCGAACAACGCTTTAAGGATAATCGGGCGAGGAGGAAATGTAGGAGGTGAGGCGGAGGGGTTTCTATTGTTTTCCTGCAGAAAACCAATCTCTGAAGAAAAAAATTTTTCCCATTTGGATTCAAAATTCAGGCAATATTAGGAACTATCTCCGGTTAAAAATTATTTTTGGAGCTAATCAAATTTATTTGTATCCGGTCCACGCATTGAATGGTTTTCAGATTGTTTTTTTTTAATAAATGAAAAAATATTAATCCATGCGAAAAAGTGGCAACATCGTCGGTAGTGTTTTTCTTTTTCACCAAGAGCTGGTACCACTGGCTCGAGGGAGCTCCAATCACAACGCTTCATCGCTCGCTCTCAAGAGACGTTTAAATTGACTGCGCTACCCCCACCCGATCGGTACTTGAGACGTTGCTGCTCGTTTGGGCTGCGTGCGCAGAAATTTCATTTTTCAGTACTTTTTTCGCTATTATTAATAAACTAGGGGGCTCCGCCCCCTGCTCTCTTTGCTGGCCAACCCCGGGGGGCTTCGCCCCCCCGCTCGCTTCGCTTATATATAAATATATATAAAATCACCCTATGACCTGTCAGGATTGGGTTGGCTTGAGTCACATCAGGTCACGTCAGGTCGGTTGGGGTCACGTCGGCTCGGGTCACGTCGGGTCGACTCGGATCACGTCAAGTCGGCCCCAGGACCACATCTGTGTCGCCCCAGGGCCGGTTCAGTGTCGCCCCAGGGCCACATCAGTGTCGCCCCAGGGCCGCATCTGTCGCTACAGGGCCGTTCAAGCGTCGCCTGAATTTTGAGCGTCGCCTGAATTTTTCGGCTTATTTTTTTTATTATATAGAGAGACAATGCTCCTAGGCGAGCATCTTTTTCACTCAAAAAATCATTGATCACATGTTCTAAATGTGTCTAAAGTTTCATGAGTTTGGCTGCTTTTTTTCCTTGAGTTTTGCATTTTTTTTTATAATTTCCATAAGATCACGGGTTAAATGACCACTTTTTTAAAAATTCCTAATAAATTAACCATGTTCCCCAGCAATCTGAAACTTTGCACACGCTTTTTCCATCATTTAAAGAATACGTAAAAAATTTAAAAAAATGACTGCTTTTTTTCTAACCGTCCGGGCTCCCCCGATTATCCTTAAAGTCCGAACGACAAAAATTGAAATATCTCTAAATTTTGTATAATTGGGTCCAGATATTTTGATTGGTCAAAATAGAGGACATCAAGACGAAAATTAGAAAAAAAAATTATAATTGGTTAACTCGCTATTGAGATATTCAAGGAAATTAGATTTACATATAAAGTTGAATATCTCAGAAACTAATTATCCGATTGAGACCATTTTCAGTACAAACCATTGTTACTACTAGAGACAACCCCACGCCAAATTTCAAATTGATATCTCCATTTTTGCGGATACTAGAGTGCGAACAACGATTTTACGTCAAAAAGAGAAAAATCGAAATATTTCGAAANCGAAAATTAGAAAAAAAAATTATAATTGGTTAACTCGCTATTGAGATATTCAAGGAAATTAGATTTACATATAAAGTTGAATATCTCAGAAACTAATTATCCGATTGAGACCATTTTCAGTACAAACCATTGTTACTACTAGAGACAACCCCACGCCAAATTTCAAATTGATATCTCCATTTTTGCGGATACTAGAGTGCGAACAACGATTTTACGTCAAAAAGAGAAAAATCGAAATATTTCGAAAACTTTCTATGAACGGGTATACATATTTTGATTGATTGCGATAAAGGGCATCAAGCCGAATATTTTGAAAAAAAAAAGAAATCGGTTGGGTAGTTTTCGAGATATTTAGGAAAAAGCGTAAAGAAACAAACGGCTATTTCTCAAAAACTAATTGACGGATCCAGCTGAATTTAGGCATGGAGTTAGTCACAAATGATTCCAATAAATTGACAAAATTTCAGAGTTTTAGAATAAATTTTCCCGTTTATTCGTTAATTAAAAAAAAAAGTGACCACCGAGTGGAAAAAGTGATCACCGAGTAAAAAAAGTGAGCACACACAGCATGGTGCCCAAACTTCGTATTTTTCCGTTTCAGACCATTCTGGATCGTTTCCAAGCAAAATTAGCGAAAGTGAAAATCGAACGAATGCAAAGCTTCCATTCGGAAGCAAAAAAATAATGATTTTGTGCAAAATGACGCTGAATATTCATGATTTTTTTTTCAAATTTTTCTCACGCAATTTAATTGATAAATTTGATGATTACTAATAAAAAAAATTTGATGATTGGAAATGGTTGAATCTATAGTGTGGTCTGTACCAAACTGTAAAATATACGTGGATCTGGATATATCCTTAAACCCCTTGAGGGGTTAAAAAAATCACTGAAACTGTAATATGATAAAAATTTCCAAGAAGTGTACTGGAAATTTTAGCCAAAATTTTTTCACAATGTTCAAAAATCGATAGAAAACCCACAGATTTTTCAATAGGATTCCCTAACAAATCCATTTTTTCGCTCATTCATTATGATTCATCGCTTCGTAGTGCTGAATCGTCTGAATCAATTTCATTGAATGAGTTGACAATCTTTGAATTGGTTTATTGTTTATCCTAGGCAGTGAGGGTCATCATTGGCCGCTGACCAAGCAGATGGCGGGCAGAATATCTATAGAAGATGTCAGAGAGCGCATGCAGGTGAGATTCCAATAGTTATCAGTGTTATAGACTAAATTATCACATTGCAAAAGCCAATATCTACACAGAGATAAATTCATGTGCCAAGTACGATAAACGAGTCACAATTCGCACACTTGGAAAAATTATCGTGTAGCACCAGAACAATTATGATGCCCTCAATAATTAAAAAACAAAAATAAAACGGATCAAGTAGATTTTGCCTATTGATCAGTTTTTAATAAATATCTCGGAATCTACGGCAAATAGCAACATTTTTGTTGGAACCTTTTTTGGAGAGCAAATTAAGCGCTGCGAAAATGGTTATTATGGAAATTTCGTTATCTCCCTTAGATTTGGAGATATTCTTCGAAAACTCAGCTAAGCGTTAAGTCAACTGAAATCTTTTTAATGCTTCGCTACTGACTTAGGCTTCGGCGTTGCCAACCTCACTCTATATTAGCTGGGCGCGTTTAGCGAGTTTCCGGCAACGTCGCGTAACAGGCAATTCCATTTAAGGTACTTCCTCAGTGAGTTATACTTGGTGAAAATTTCGCAATGAACTGAAGACCTAAAATTTGAATCATATGTTGTTGAGCACATGTGAAAACGATTCCCAAAATTTCAAGTATTTTTTCCACGCGATTTTTTGAGATATGCATCGACAAAAACTTAAAAAAGACAAAAATTGAATGTTTGACGATGGATAGCTCAAAAATTCGCGTGGAAAAAATACTTGAAATTTTGAGAGTCGTTTTTACATGTCTTCAACAACATATGATCCAAATTTTAGGTCTTCAGTTCATTGCGAAATTTTTACCAAGTATAACTCACTGAGGAAATTCCTTAACATGAGAAAAAAAAATTTATCCGTTGGAAATAATTCGTTTTCTTTATGAGTTTCGGGAATGATCTTTTTATAAAAAACTAGTATTATTTTTTAGACATTTCAATTGAAAAGGTCAATTTTTTTCATATTTCTGCTTTTTCGATACAAAAAATTCATCAATTTTTTACATTTTTTTTTACATTTTTTAATCATTTGTTTCGATGAGTATCTCCAAATTATAGGGACATAATCAAATATATTGTAAGTACTTCCGTCCTGCGTTTTCTTCAGTTCACAAGAAAAATCCGTAGAAATAATTTCCCCTCAAATGTCGTGATCTCCAAAATTCGCCCTCAGTTCTGATATAAACAGACGGAGGTCGGTTATATCCGCAAATTAGATTAAAATTATTCTCGCGCGGCTTACAAATCCTTGCGTTCGAGAATAATTTTCTTATGGATACCTACCTTGAAGTGCTAGGCACATCCCCTGCGTCGTGACGTTACGCTATGTCGCGATTAGCTAATGAGGGTCTTTAGATATATAGAATAAATGAACAGAAAACTATGGGTTCCCCTTTGTTTAATTTATTTGACCCAATACAATTGACAAGTATAATAAGTTTTTCAACCCCTTGACTGAATACTGTGATTATTGTAAGTCGTTATCCTTCGGACTTTGCTTAAGGAATTGGCCTTAATACCGTAAAGGATTTTGACGTTAAACGACTCGATCGCCGCGTGAGAGCTTCTACTATTTTCGATAATTTTTGCTGAGAAGTAGTCGATGATATTATTTTGGAACTATTAATGATAATTTCGAGCTCACCCTTATTTAGATCTTTGCGGTAATTAGACGTAAGCTTGAATGACGGAACGCGAGCCGTCGGATGTAAGTGCACTGGTATCCGTGATCCAGAGATTGTCCTTTTCANTATTGTAAGTCGTTATCCTTCGGACTTTGCTTAAGGAATTGGCCTTAATACTGTAGAGGATTTTGACGTTAAACGACTTGATACGCCGCGTGAGAGCTTCTACTATTTTCGATAATTTTTGCTGAGAAGTAGTCGATGATATTATTTTGGAACTATTAATGATAATTTCGAGCTCGCCCTTATTTAGATCTTTGCGATAATTAGACGTAAGCTTGAATGACGGAACGCGAGCCGTCGGATGTAAGTGCACTGGTATCCGTGATCCAGAGATTGTCCTTTTCAAATGTGTATGAAGATGAGAAGATTTAGTAGAAGTCACTTTGTTTCGTTCGATAACTGATTTTATTCACTATAGTAATTTTGATTGATAAATTTAAAGTTTGAGTCCAATCAGTGACACAAGTGTATGACACGCTCTATCCCACGACTACGAAGGTGGGCGTACTTGTCACGTATGAGTTAATTTTACTGCGAAAATCACTTGTGATCCCTCCACACAGTTTACCGATCGGTTTGCAATCCCAAGACTAAGGGGTAACGAGCTCGGCTTCAAGGTAGTAAAAAGGAATAACGCAGGAGCCAAAGGTTATGATTTTCCGTTGTTAGTTAAACGGTGACTGAATGCAAATCCGGTGTTCCCATGTCGCGAAGCGCCCGTAGGAGATGCTTAGGTCAGCATCCTCGAACACACGTGCAAATGGGTGAGCCGATTTAGAGGGTGTGAGTATAAGAATGCGCTTACGCTCATCCTTATCACTCACGTCATCCAGTGGACGATGGCTAACTCAACGTTTTGCTCCCTTTCGATGCAACGTTGAAGTTTAATAAAATAATAAAATTTTCGTATATAACAGTTCAAATTGATTAAATTTTTCAAGGCAGTGATTCTTATATTTTCTTTTCTAACTCAAGTGAATACGTTTCTCAAATAAATTCAATGGATTATTCTGTTACAGAAGCTACAACAAGATGTCTTAGATCAAGTTGGTGATCGACTGAATGACATGGTCACAGAAGTCATAGAAGGAATAGAAAACATCGCGCACTCCGGAACTGTACCCAGCAGTGCACTAGAAAAATTGTACAATGACAAAAAGTATGGATTGTTTTTTTCTAGGTGCCTAAACACGTTCCTAAGTATCTTAATTCATGTTTGAAATTCAGACAAATTTTCATTCTATTCAGCCCTTTTTTATTGTCTGAAAAATGTCTAGAAAAGGTGTGTGAAATTCACACATTCGTTTTTGCTGTGTTAAAAATTGCTAACAAGTATAATTTCTAGGAAAATTTCAAGGAATTCCGTTATTAAAAATTCATAATTCCATGAAAAATCTGTGGGAGCTGTAAATTTCAGTTCAATTATTCCAGGGAAATTGATGGAAAATCAGGATAATTCAGAGAAATAATTCTTGGAATTCAAAGAATTGTAAAGAAATTTTATGAAAATTCAAGGAAATTTGACAGTGAATATTCATTTTCACTGGAAAATTCATGTAAATTCTGAAATTCCCGTCTTCCCGCATTTTCAGAGATAATGCGGAATTCCATTGACTTTTTTCCCTTAAGGATATCCAAGTACTTTGGCTATTTTTTCTCCAGTGAAATCCTTTTCTAGTTTGGTACTCGAACCTCAGAGCTTTCATTTGCAGCCCATTTGACCCTAAGTTTCCGGACATTTTACAATGATTTTATTATTTAAACTTTGCAGGTCGGAATTTGAATCTCAATATATGGAATCGTTAAAAAACATTTTAAAAATCTGAAAAAGAATTAGAAAGTTCACCTTTTCGAGGAAGATTGATGAAATGATTAAAGAAAAAATTGAAAATGACAATTGAAATGCATAAATAAAAATCATTTGTTCCCAATCGTAACAAATTTATTCATATTCATAATTTTACCAAAAATCGATTTTATGCTTAAAAAAATAGGGTTTCCGCAAGTTTAAACAATTTCAATCATTTATTTATAAACAACAAATGTGTAAAAATAATAATTCTGTGCAGAATGTAATTGGAATGACGCTGAATATTCATGATTTTTGTAAATTTTTCCAAACACAATTCAATTCACAAATTTGATTATTGAAAATGGTGCGTTGAGTTTATGGCGTGGTCTGTATCAAACTGTAAAAGATACTTGGATATACTCAAATCGAATTCAATGTCTTTTTCCGAAAAATTCAGCCAAATTTTGTTAACCGTGTGCTTCCATCTGGAAGTAAAAATCACACGGAGAGAAATTTTCTACAAAAATTCTAATAATATGAGTACTGGAAAAAATCACAATCCACCGGCTGTGAAAAATTCTAGTGCTGGTAAGGTAAAATTTCTTGATATTTCTGGTAAAATTTCTGGGGATTTCTGGAAAATTTTCACGCAACTACGGGAAAAAATTTACGTTTTCCCCATTAAATGGAATTTTTTCCTGTCCGTCACTTTGTGCCACTTTTCCCGTGCTGGCACTAGAATTTTTCTAAAACATTTCTCTTTGTACACCCAAATAATTATGCACTCACCTCCATCCTTTCAGAGAATTAGGTGGCGGTGGAAAGCTCCCAGAGAAGGACTTCCGGATTCGAAATTCAGTCCTAACAGACGTGTTCAATGACGTGAAACACGTGCGACCGATCTACAACGTTTGGTTAATGATACTGCTATCACTACTGTTACATACAATTTCAAACGATCTCATCGAGAAGGGAAAAGTGAATTTGGGATTTGTCACGATAGCCGCTGGCTTAGCAAAATTCCCCGATGTCATCAGGCTTTGGAGTCTGATGTTCACATCCTCGCTCTCCGTTTATGCATTTCACAGCTTCTGGGCGCGTCAGCGGTTGAAGTTCCAACCGAAATCACCACTCGTGAGAGTTTGGGACTACACGTGGCTATTAATTTTCCTTATATACCAGCTGGCCTTCTTATACCTACCTGCAAGGGCAGTCCTTGCGGCGGAACTTCCACCCCCATCTACGCTGATCGTTGTCATGGAGCAGGTACGAATGATCATGAAAATCCATGCTTTTGTGAGGAGCACGAGCCCTACGGTGATTTCTTACAAACCACATACAGAGGGGAGAGAATTGGATTTTCCAGGGTTTTCAAAATTTCTGTACTTCATGTTTGCACCGACACTCATTTATCGAGACAGCTATCCAAGGTACATGTGAAGGGTCAATTATTATAATTTTTTAAATTCAATTTGATAAGTAAAAGAGGTGTACGCGTACGAAAAAATTTCATGGAAAAACAGCAAATTCGCTATAGAAAGCTCGATTGGATTTCTATTCGTTTTTGGCCAATTGTATTGAAATGTTCAATAGAAAAAGTCAATAGAATTCGATTTTTCTATGCAACTTATTCTATTAAGATATTTTCTATGCAATTTCCCCGGCTCAAATTTTCAAATTTCTTTTGTTTGATTTTCTTGGTGAAAAGAAACGAAAAATAAAATGAAAAAAGCTTAAAAAATTTGAGTCGAGGATATTTTGTAGAAAATATCTCAATGGAATAGGTTGTATAGAAAAACAGAACTCAATTGACTTACCTCTATATTATGAAAATCCAAATCGACTTTTGGTGATAAAAATTTGGTACTCGAAATGAAGACTCAGAAATTAAAGGTCACAAGGGTCATGAGGATCAGAATGCGGGTTATGAGAGTCAAAAAAGGGTCATGAGCATTAGAAAAAGGGCCACAAGCGTCAGAATAAAAGTCATGGGGGCAGAATAAGGGTCACGAGGCTCAGAATACGGGTCCAAATAAGAACCACAAGAGTTAGATTAAGGGTTATATAGGTCAGATTAAAGGCCACAAAATTAAGGGCCACAAGGGTCAGATTAAGGATCTAAATAAGTGTCACAAGGATCAGATTAAGTGTCACAAGGGTCAGAGTAAGGGTCCAAATAAGGGACATGGGGGTCAAAAATCAAGGGTCAGAAACTAAGGGTCACCAGGGTTACAATCAGGTTCACAAGGGTTATAATGAGGGTCAGATTAACCCCTCAAGGACGGGGTCCATATACATATATGGACCAGTCTGTCCTGTGGGCCGGGGTCTCTATGCTATACAGTCTATAGTGTAGAGACTTTATACACATGTTTGCCATCTACCGCCCGGCCGTAGAGACAGTTTTATTGCGAAATGCTCCGTAGTTGAGGGATTAAGGATCCAAATGAGGGTCAGAAACTAAGGATCCAAGAGTCAAAATAAGGGTCTCAATATCTCTCTATATTGTAAAAATCCAAATCGACTTTTGGTCATGAAAATTTGGTGCTTGAACTTAAAACTCTAAAATTAAGGGTCAAAATAAGGGTCGAGACGGGTATAATGAGCGTCGGATTAAGGGTCACAAGGGTCAGAATAAGGATCATGGGGGTCATATAGGGGTTGGCGAGCGAGTAGAAGGCATAGCCCCCCAGTTCTATAGAATATTTTCTACTGAACATTTCAATAGAAATCGAGAAGAATTGTCTACCGAAATCGGTAGGTTTTTCTGTTAAATTTTTCCATTCCGATTTCAACTAATCACAGTGCAGCATTCGGGGTCATGTGACACCTTCAAATCAGTTTTATTTTGATAATTCACCCGGCCATGGACTATTTCTCAATCGTCTAACCATTGCTCTACGAAGGTCCGTCAAGTTGGCAGTCCTAGGTGCTCCAATCGGGACCAAAATATATGCAAAATTAGGCGCTATTTAGGCGCTTTTTTGGTGCTCAATTTTTTTTTCGTGCTCTAATAGAATTTCTAAAAATTGCGTTTTTTAAATATGAGCATCAAGTTAGCAAGAAAAATGGGGGAAAAAACGATTTAAAAAATCAAACCTAGGGGATAATAAGGCGCTTTTTACGTGCTTTCGGATACTGGAGAGAAAACTCCACAGAAATGTTTTTTTTTTACAAAAACGGAACGGTTTGAAAGGAACCAATGTAGATGAAAGAAGTGTAGGGGGGATAGGCACATGGGTACGGTGAATTCCCCAAATTAGGTGCTATTCAGTGAGACAAACCAAAATTTTGGTGCTCCACGCGTAGTCAAAATTTCGGAGGCTCAGTCGTGTCAAGAGGCAGGGTCATTGGACATGACTCCAGGAGTCTCAGGGTGGTAGAAACGCTTGGAGACATTAAGTGCTCCCGAAGGTTTAATGGTGGCTTAGTTGAGTCAAGAGACAAAATCATTGGGCACGTTTTCAGCAGTCTCGGAATGGTGGACATGCTTGGAGACATTAGGCGCTCACGAATGAAGACAATTTGAAATTTGGTGCTCCGCCTCTGGACCGAGATCCAGTGGAAGCTCAGTCACGTCATAAGGCAGTCATTGGGTATGAAATCTCGGTCCAGAGACGGCGCACCAAATTTCAAATTGTCTTCATTCGTGACCGCCTAATGTCTTCAAGCATGTCCACCATTCCGAGACTGCTGGAGAGATACCCAATGACATTGTCTTATGACGTGACTGAGCTTCCACTGGATCTCGGTCCAGAGGCAGAGCACCAAATTTCAAATTGTCGTCATTCGTGAGCGCCTAATTTCTCCAAGCATGTCCACCATTCCGAGACTGCTGGAGACATACTCAATGACATTGTCTTGTGACGTGACTGAGCTTCCACTGGATCTCGGTCCAGAGGCAGAGCACCAAATTTCAAATTGTCGTCATTCGTGAGCGCCTAATTTCTCCAAGCATGTCCACCATTCCGAGACTGCTGGAGACATACTCAATGACATTGTCTTGTGACGTGACTGAGCTTCCACTGGATCTCGGTCCAGAGGCGCAGCACCAAATTTCAAATTGTCTTCATTCGTGAGCGCCTAATGTCTACAAGCATGTACACCATTCTGAAACTGCTGAAAACGTGCCCAATGATTTTGTCTCTTGACTCAACTAAGCCACCATTAAACCTTGGACTATGGATGAAGCACCAAATTAAAAATTGCCTCCACTTGGGAGCGCTTAATGTCTCCAAGCGTTTCTACCACCCTGAGACTTCTGGAGTCATGTCCAACGACCCTGCCTCTTGACACGACTGAGCCTCTGAAAAACTTGACTACACGTGGAGCACCAAAATTTTGGTTTATCTCACTGAATAGCACCTAATTTGAGGAATTCCCCGTACCCATATGCCTATCCCCCCTACACTTCTTTCATTCACATTGGTTCCTTTCAAACCGTTCCGATTTGTAAAAAAAAAAAAAATTTCTGGAGGTTTTTCCCCAGTATCCGAAAGCACGTAAAAAGCGCCTTATTATCCCCTAGGTTTGATTTTTTTTTATCATTTTTTCCTCACTTTTCTCGCTAACTTGATGTTCATATTTAAATAACGCAATTTTTAGAAATTCTATTAGAGCACGAAAAAAAAATTGGGCATCAAAAAAGCGCCCAAATAGCCTCTAATTTTGCATATATTTTGGTCCCGATTGGAGCACATAGGACTGCCAACTTGACCTGCTCTACGATTTTTTTAGAACGAGAACAATCAGCTGGCGTTTCGTAGTTTGGCACTTCCTGGAAGTCGGCTTCGTGATATTCTTCGTTGCATTCTTATGCGAGAGATTCATCTTCCCGACGTACAAGAACTTCGGGGTTGAACCAGTCACATTGAGCAATGTGTTACCGAAAATATGCAGTTCAGTTCTTCCTGGACTGGGACTGTATCTCAGTGGATTCTACTGTCTTCTACATGCGTGGATGAATGCTTGGGCTGAACTACTGAAGTTTGGAGATCGAATGTATTATAAAGTAAGTTTCTAGACCTGGCGACGATGATTACTATCAATATGTGGTAGAACAATGATATGGCAAGACAAACCCCCTAAACTTGGGGATGTATTTTTAATAAACACATTCCAAAATATTTCATAGAAAAGCTTGTCAACATTTGATAGAACATTCTATTCGCCTTTCATTGATTCCATAAAAAAAGACTGAGATTTGTGTGAGGTCACATTCGTCGAAAATCCCTATGGCACTAGGCACGAACGATATTTTTCCGTAGTGACTTTCATTTTTGCCAGTTCGGGAAAGGGTCAATACCAATCCCTAAACTGGGAAATAATATATTTCGATAAGAGTGAGACGGAATTTTCACGATTGTGAAGTTGGAGGCCCGAGAGGAAGCCGAGGGCTGTCAATCACACGCGCTGAAAATTCCCTTTCATATGTGTCGAACAATATTTTTCGACAGTCATGTTACGTTCAGCGAGTGGCCGAACTGTGCTTTTTTCGTTTACAAGTAAACGAAAAGTAAACTCGCTTCGCTCGGTTAAATCGCGGTTGTCGGGCCCAATGACAAAAAATACTGTTCGATACACGGCCGTGAAGAACTTTTCTACCTCATATGATTACAGAACTCCCCTTCGGCTCGTCCTGTAAACTCATATTCGCCGGAAAAGTTCCTCACGGCCTAGTTTCGAAATATATTATTTCCGCACGTGGTGAACGTAGCAGCAGTGTCAAAATACTATATTTTCCACCAAGGGAGGGAAAATAAAGGAGTCGTGCCCACATGCAGAATTACCACCCGAGCCGAAAGCGAGAGTGGTAAGCATGTGGGTAAGGGGCCTTTATGTTACCTCTCGTGGTGAGAACGTTATTTTTCCCGTTTCGCGGGAGGAAAATCTGCCTTTCCGCCCGCCGTGGTGAAAAAGTGTTTTTTGAGGTGTGTAGCGCGCGCGGAAGGCGAGTGTGCCATCCTCCCAAGGGTCAAAAAACACATTTTTATCGTGTTCAAGTTCCACTGAAATTTCAAGAAATCTTATCATTAAAAAGTCAAATATTCCATTGACTTTCTGTTCAAGTGCTCTGAAAATCACTAAAATACTTGATTCTTCAGTTCAATTATTCTGTCAAAATTCAGAAAAATCAGGAAAATTCGGAGAAAAATGGAAAATTCATGTCATTTTGTTTCTGGATACCGTGGACACTCCTTTATTCTCCCTTTCTTTAATTCGCGCTCTACTCTCCTCGAGGCCTGCTTCTCCTCAAAATCCTCCCTCCACTCCTCATTTATGGTTTATTCTCCTCTGTGATGTCATGCGCTGCGCCGTGCGTAGTGGGTCACAGAAAGTTATGTTCCTTTCCTCCCACTGCCACGATCCTCCCCACTATTCCCAGCTTTCCCTTCTCTAACTCCGCCTGAACGGGCAGAGTGGGAGTCTCTCCTTTACTTGCATTTCACATGAAATGGCTTCACGGACACCCCCCGAGCTGTGGGAATTACGGGGTAACAGAAGGCCATCGTTTTGTCGAAATTTTTAAACAAATTTCCCGTTCAAAATTATTAATATTTTTTTAACCCAAAGCACATTGATCTTCATCATCACCTCCTGGAGATTAATGTGCTTCCATTTTTTTTAATATCGATAACTTTCAGCAGAAAATTCGTTTAAAAATTTGGAAAATTAAAGGTATTCTGTTACCCCTTAAAGAGAACACACTGTATTCATGTTCCATTGAAAATTCAACCAAGTTGGGAAATTTCCATCTCACTCCCACAGAAAACCCATGAATTTCCTTGAATTCTACCTAGAACTTGAAATTTCATAACCATTTGTCCAATACATTCGGTTCAATGTCATCTCATCAAAATTACTATCATATTTTCCATGAAGTTTCAAAAAATTTCTAACCATGCTGCTTGTTTTACACATAAATTTGTACTTCATTCCAGTACGAATAATATTCTGAAGAAAAATAATTCTCCCATTTATTTTGTCCCTAGGACTGGTGGAATTCAGTATCCTACGGCAGCTTTTACCGCAATTGGAACGTAGTAATTCACGATTGGCTGTACACATACATCTACAAAGATTTTTACGAAATTGTCTTCCCGAGAAAGAAAGCGATTGCCATGTCCTCGGTGTTTTTCATATCTGCAGTGTTCCACGAGTACATCCTCAGCATTGCTTTTCACATGTTCTATCCAATGCTATTTGTGATTTTTCTCGCAACCGGATACCCCCTAGTGTGGCTGACGCAGAAAAGATCTCATTCCTTCGGCAATGTTTTCCTCTGGTTCTCACTTCTCTTTGGTAATGGACTGCTACTGAGCACATATTCCATGGAGTATTTCGCGAGGGTCAATTGTCCTGGATTCGGGGATGATTTTCTGGATATAATTCTACCGAGGAGTTGGATGTGTAACAGTACGAAGCTAGAGAGCCGATGAAGGCTAGTGGAATTGTCCGAAGAAAAGACATTGGAATCGATGGTCACTTCCTATTCAATTTCTATTGAAAATTCTATTCTTTTGCCGATTTCATTGAAAAATTCCACAGCTTTTTCGGATAAAAATGTTTAATAGAAAATATTTTACGGAAAAATCAATAGATTGGAGAATTTCTATAGGAATGAGTCTATCGAATTATTTTCTATAAGAATTCTTCAGCGTAAATTTTCCAAGTTTTTTTCACTCGGCATTGTTCTCCTTCTCGTTGAAAAATAAAGTACAAAAATTTGGAGAATTTGAGTCAAGTTCTTTGTATTGAAAATATCTTCATAGAAAGAGTTGCTTAAAGTATTCAAAATCTATTGACTTTTTTCTATGAAATACTTTTAAGGTGTTTCGTGCGAAAAAGGTGAATAATGACATTCATCTGAAATTCATATGGATTGTTTATAATCCCAATTGAATTGTCTATGAATTTTTATACAACTTTTGAGTTTTCCTTTTCACATTATTAAGGATTAAAGTCACTGCTTATACATGGATTCTTACGGAAATTTTTCTGTTTAGCATGAAACTATATTATCAGCTCAGATGATAACGCAGTTTCGTAGTAAACAGAAAAATTTCCGTAAGAGTCTATGTATAAGAAGTGACTTCAGTCGCTAATAAGTTGAAAAGAAAACCTATAAAAATTCTAGGAAAATTCATAGATAATTCAATTGTGATTATAAACATTCTATATGAATTCCGGATGAATGTAATTATTTACCTTTTTCGCACGAAACACCTTAATTCAATCTTTTCATTGAAAAAACAAAATGCTCAGAAAAGTCGTGGAATGTTGCTATAGAATTGGAGAAAATGAAATGAAATTTCCAGAAGAAGTTTAATAGAAATTCTAAATTGTGTTTCTGTTAAACATTCCCGCACATGGAACGTTGACGGTTATAGTGTTTCTGTGCTACTCCGATCGCGAAACTGAATAGAATATATCGAAAGTGCTCAAGATATTGTGGTTGTAATGCCCATGAATTTAAAAATCTACAAAAAATGCTTGTTTTTAAAACGAGAGGATATTTATGCACAAGTTGTAAAGAATTTTGAGAGAAACTCCGAGCGGAGTTTCTCCACAAAAATCTCATTCGAATAAACTGTACAGAAAAATAAAAATATAATGAATTCTTTCTATTGGAATTTCCATGAACAATCAAGAAGAATAATAGACTTTCGAATCGAATTCTCATGGAATTCATTGAGGTGATTTCGAAGGGTGAAACAAAATATTCGTGACTTTAAATTATGAGCAATCTAGGTAGTTAATATGAATTAAAATTTTTTTGGGGCACCTCATGTAATAATTGTGGGTGCTCAGATAGATGCACCGGATCATCCTTCCAGCTCCTTTCTTCAAGAAGTATATAATTTTAAAAGAACGCATGGTATTGCAATTTTTATAACAAGCCATACCAGCGTTTAGGGTTACCCAGGGTTCGCGATGTGGACGCAGTTGGTATGCGTACCCCAAAAAGCCAAAATAATAAAATTAATTTGACTAACAATAAGTCACATTCAATTAGTTTGACTGACAAGCAACACTAGGGAGGTGTTCCCCTCCGATTTTGATCAAACTCATATATGTTGTAGAGGACTCAAAACTAAAGGACATGTATTTTTTTTTATCGGATAATACGCGGCTTTAGGGGGGAGGGGGGGTCAGAAGGTGACCACCTTCGGGGGTGATCTTTCAATCCTAGATAAGGAGGGTGTTTTTACAAATGTTCATCACGGTAGTGAATAGCTTGTGAGAAGTTATAAAAATCACAATTGATAGTTCCTCCGGGGGTTGAAATTGGGGGGGGGGGTAAACTACCCCGTAAAAATTTTGTTTTTCAAAAAAAAATATATATATATTATTTTGATANGTTAACACCACATATAGTATAATGATGAATCACCTCATGGAACCATTACCTAGCTTTCCCAGACATAAAAATTATAAGATAAATAATACTATATGGAAAAATTCCGATTATTCGGCAAGTTTTTTTTGTATTTGTGGCTGCTTTTCCTTGGAATAACCACAACATGGCTGCACTTGGAGTAGAAGAAAATTCTATCCCAGTGGATCATTGTTTCTTTAATCTGTTATTGTTGTCATCATAATGCCAGATTCTGGAGGAATATAATCTTCACGTGCGGACAATTAGAATCAAAATTGAAAATTCTNGATTATTCGGCAAGTTTTTTTTGTATTTGTGGCTGCTTTTCCTTGGAATAACCACAACATGGCTGCACTTGGAGTAGAAGAAAATTCTATCCCAGTGGATCATTGTTTCTTTAATCTGTTATTGTTGTCATCATAATGCCAGATTCTGGAGGAATATAATCTTCACGTGCGGACTATTAGAATCAAAATTGAAAATTCTAATATTTGGAATCAGTGACTTATAAAAGAAATCAATGTTCTTACTTCATAACTTCGATGCCAAGATAAATGCGAAAAAAGGTATACTGTATTATTGCATAATCGTCCTGATGCAATCATTTCCATAAAATCCTGAGCCATATATTTTCTTAATAAAAAAAAATTATTTTAAAGGGGTAGTTCACCCCCCAAATTTCAACCCCCAGAGGAACTATTAATCGTGATTTTCATAATCACTCACAAGCTATTTATTACCTCGTTGGAATGAATAAATAACTTCACCACTGTAATGGGTGATATTCCCAAGAAGTCATTTTTTATATATCCCAGAAAATTTCATTTCTAGCGAAAATCCAAAAACACCTATTCTGCAATTTTCCATGTTCTTTCAAACGCAATTGGTTTTATAAAATTTTGAGATATAGTTTTTTTTTGAAAAACGAAATTTTTATAGGGGTAATTCACCCCCCACATTTCAACCCCCGGATGAACTATCAATTATGATTTTCATAATTCCTCACCAGCTATATATTATTTTGATAAAATGGATAAAAAACTTCACCACTGTGATGGGTGATATTTCCGAGAAATTATTTTTTTCACCCCAGAAAACTTCAGTTCCGGGGAAAATCCAAAAATGGGTATTCTGCATGTTTCCATGCTCTTCCAAATGCAATTGGTTTTATTAAATTATGAGCCATATTTATTTTTTGAAAAACAAAATTTTTACGGGGTAGTTTACCCCCCCAATTTCAACCCCCGGAGGAACTGTCAATTGTAATTTTTATAACTTCTTACAAGCTATTCATTACCGTGATGAACATTTGTAAAAACACCCTCCCTACAGGAGACATTCCGTGTCAACTCAGCCACCCTGAATTTTTTGGGTTCTAAGACTCCGGAATTAGTATGCTCACAGTCAAGTACTACATCAGTACATACTTCCCCTAAATTTTCGCTCCTGTAACATCAATTGTTTGTCTGCAACATATGAGAAAAGCTCAAATTTTCGAAAAATCATATCTTGCGAACAAATTGGCGAATTTAAATAAATAAAAAACGATTTTTTTCGTTTTTTCATGTACTTTTTGAATAAAAAAACGACAGTAGCACAACGACAAGGAAAAACCCATTTTTCGTGTTTTTCATTCTTTGAACATTAGTGTTATCCGAAGGCCAAACGAAAATGGAAAAACGAATGTCTTTGAGGAACGACCTTGGGGTTGATGGTTACATACAGTGAACAGTGGATATAAAACATGTGAGCGCAATAAAATCAACAGTTTCAAGTGGGGGTTTGAAAAAACTCGTGATTTCTCGGAGTTGAATTTCTATACAGCCCCTTGAATTTCCAAATAATGAACGTTTGATTAGTCCTCATCACACTCTCAAGTGGACAACATTTCACACGACTCAGTACAATATCGTTACCAGAAACTCCTCGACGGTTATTATCCTACGTTTATTCTCGATCAACTTGCAGCAAGGTATGTGATGTATGGTATGAGTCATTTTAATAGTAAACTTTTAAACTGATTTAATCGTTATAACTATTTTTCTCCCTATCAATGATCAATTCATTAATAAAAGTCATTCATTCTCATTCCATAAGATGCCGCATACCGAGAGATGTGCAAATCCAATGCGAGTCTCTGGGGAAAAAGGTCACACTGGTAAAAGCCTGCGTTGCATCCCGGTAATACTACGGCAGAAATTCCCATTTGTAATGTATTTGTATTGATGCTTTTGAATATTTCCGCCAAAAATCAACAAGGACACGTCATCACCCAATCACCGCCGTCCGTCTGTCTCCTCTGTGCACTGCACACCTAATATAATATACAGACAATAAAATACATTAATTAAGGCGACATTTAAGTAATTATTTATTATATCTCCCGATAATCGCCCTCTCTCAAACACTACATTGCCGACGAGGTAAATAATTTTGGAAAAATACAACTCAAAAGTGCAAAAAAATGGTAAAAATAAGTCAGCCGCATGTGAGTAAGGATAATGGAAGAGTTCAAGAAGGAGTTTGATGCTTGGAAAGCGGAAAGTGCCAAAAAAGAAAAAGAGAAGAAAACATTAATTGATACTCTTCAATCGAAAATTGCATTATTGGAGACATCAGCTCAATCAGGATCCAGAGCTACATCATCAGTAATTCCAGTAGGCTGTATTGGTTCACTTCAGGAATTTTCATTCAGACAAGATTGGGAATTATGGTTTGAAAGGCTGGAGCAGTATATTTTAGTTAATAATATTGAAGAATCAAAAAATGTAAGCATCTTTTTGACTTTACTCGGAAATGAAGGCTACGCTTTGCTGAAAAACTTATGTACTCCAGAAAAACCAGCCGACCTAACCTTCAAGGTGTTGAGTGAGAAATTGAATAATCATTTAAAAGCTAAACCATCAATGTTAATTGAACGTTTTAAGTTCAGGGAATGTAAACAAAAGGAAGGAGAGACCATTGCTCAATACTTAGCCAATTTGCAATGTCTGGCCACACACTGCGAATTTGAAACTAACTTAGAAACCCAACTGCGAGATCAGCTAGTCTGGGGTCTGAAAGATGAACACATCCGAGGAAAACTATTGAAAATTCAAGGATTAACGTACGCAAAAGCAGTAGAGTATGGTACAACCCTGGAATCAGCGAAGAAATGAG